ACCTTATTGATGGAGTTTTCAGGGCTTCTGTCGTTTACTCCAAATATACTGACTGATACTGACTGAAAATTCGAAAGTAGTAACGGATGGTGTATACCGCATATTCCACAACAGGCTGGGAGCAGGCACGCTGAATTGTGCATAATTATATTTAAAGTGGCAGAAGACATGCGCTGCGTCTACCGCACGCGCTCCTCCTCGTCTTTTTCCTTCCTTCCATTTCTTCCTTCATCCGTCGCACTCGGTTCTGATTACATTCGATGGGATTGCCATAAATGCAACACTAACTGATAGGCAATGCAGCTTGACGGTAAGTCCTCCACTCCCCTCAAACACACACACGACAGTTTGACCATCAAATTCGATGATGTCCACCGTGTGTTCCACACCAGGTGGGAGCAGGAACGGCGAATTACGCAGGGGTTTATAGTGCTAGTAGACTTGCGTAGCATCTAGCTACACTCTCTCCTCCTCCCCCGCCTGAGCGCGGTGTCAAGACAGAGTCAAGAAGACTGGAGACGGGGGAGGCCGCAGGTGGATGGCTCGGACGGGTCTTCGCCTTGGCGCTCCACTCCGCACCCCTGGTCCACACACCAGGACCAGGATTTTGACCACAAAAATGGGGTGGTGGCCGTGGTCCCGTTGTGCGAGGAATGCCGACAACAGGGTCCGCCAGCGCACCCCGCAAATGTTGGCATTTGTTATTACGCAAAGATAACGCCTGCCAGAGTCCGATTTGGCCCTCGTGTTGGTCCAGCGCATCTAACACGTGGCCCGTTTTGAGGGCACACACGCACACACACACACACACACACACACGACAGTTCGTCCGTCGATTTCGACGATGACCACCGTGTGCCCCACAGACTGCATTTTGGGAGCAGGGACGGTGACTTACGCAGGGGTTAATAGTGCCAGTAGACTTGCGTAGCATCTACCTACACTCTCTCCTCCTCCCCCGCCTGAGCCCGGTGTCAAGACAGAGTCAAGAAGACCGGAGACGGGGGAGGCCGCAGGTGGATGGCTCGGACGGATCTTCGCCTTGGCGCTCCACTCCGCAACCCTGGTCCACACATCAAGACCAGGATTTCAACCAACACAACAGAGATTTGGAGGCTGGCACGGCCGAAGCCGCACCTGGGCGTGCCGCCAACGCCTGGCTCGGATCCCACACTGTGGTGGGAATGCCATAAAGGCCACATTAAAAAGGAGCCATTGCAGCCTGACTCTCAGACCACCTCCCGTTAAGAAGGAGGTCCAAGGTATCCCGTCAACTGGCAACCTTCCAAGCCACGGCTTTTAGCGCACCGTGATAGCTTCAAGCGCGTCAGATTGATTATAGTGAGGAAAATGCGCTTAGTCGTCGACCTCACTCTCCCTTCCCATTCCCACACCCCAGCCACTGTCCGAGCCGGTCAATAGACTGGAGTGGGGAATGGGCGCGGTGGCTGACATGGTCGACTGACCATGCCTGCGCGCGCCACAGCACGACCTGGCCCCCCAGACACACAAACACCAGGATTTCACACAACGGGGGTTGGACGGCGTGTCCCTCACTTGCGTGAGAGTGCCGTGGAATGTGCTGTTGCAGCCCGTCCCCAGCCCACCAGTCCGCCACTCCACACAACTCACACACAACGTGACGAACTGCGTGAACCGAGAGCGGGCCTCAATCAGCAACCTTCCTATCCACGACACTTGGCGTGTCGGGATAGTCTCGGACACAAGTCACCCGTGCAGCCGAAGCCGCATGGGGACCGAGTGGAGATGCACACTTCCCACTTGCGTGGGAGGCGGCAGTTGAGTGCATGAGGTGTGTGAGGGTTGATGTCTGGTGGGGTGATGGTGCTAGGAGGTAGGGGGGGGAGGGAGTGTGTGGTGTGACCGGCGGTTGTCTACCGCAGGTCGTCGTGGATGCGCATCTGGCCGAATAGACCCATGCGATTCGTGAAGGTGCGAGGGCTGTGTGGGCAGTGGAGGCGAGTGCGGTAGGTGTAGGTTGGTGCTCCAGGCACTGGTTCGCCAGTCTCTGTACGATGGATTCGCAAGTGACCGACCAGGCCGATGCGTGAGGTGAAGGTGCGATCGCAGTGTGGGCAGATGTAGTCCTGGCCCTCACGTCTGATGATGGAGGTTGCAGGGGTTGTGCCTGTTGTTGTGCCAGGTTCGGCTGTGGTGAAGTCGTGGGCGACAGACGCCGAAGCGGCCGTCGTTGTGGCAGTAGTGGAGGAAGAGGTGGAGGAAGTGGAGGAGTGAGGGGTGGTAAGGTCGGTGTCGTCGATGTCGGCTGGGGAGTGGTTAGTGGGTGCACAAGGTGGTGGATTGGGAGTGGGGCTCGGCGGGGTGGATGTGTCAAGGCTGCGGTCAATTCCGCTCTCGTGGATGCGCGTGTGGCCGAATAGACCCATGCGATGAGT